GTCTCGGGACTGCACGTCTCGGGCAGTACAATCCCTGGACAGGAAGCCAAACTTACAACTGTGGCATAAATGCAATAATAAGCATTACATTACAATAATAAACAGCATAAACAGTAAATGCAATAAATAAAACAAATCAAATGCTATCAAATCGCGTACAAATCAAATAAAACTAAATACAAATCAAATAAAAATTAGAAACAAAAAGAACCATGGTCTTACACTATTTACAATTATTTACATTACGTACTATGGCCACAGTAATGAGCTAACTTGTCGCAATGAACGACTTTAGGTTTAGAGTTCGAAGACGAACGGATCCGAACCACGACGTCATTCAGCCTGTTTAGGACTGTGTGCGGACCATCCCAAGATGACTGTAATTCAGGCCTGACTCCTTTTCGTCGAATCGGGTTCCACAACCACACCTTGTCTCCTCTGTTGAATCTATGTCCAGTAGCTCTTGTGTTATATCTGGTTTTCACTTTCTCCGTCGCCAAGTTGACTCGCTTTTGTGCGGAACGGTGCATAACTTCAAACCGGTCCTGGACATCTTGGATGTATTCCTCAAACGATGAAGGCGCATCCGTAGGGCAACCAAACAGGCGGCCACAAGGCTGACGAAGGTCTCGACCGAAGAGCATCTGAGATGGAGAATAGCTGGTAGTCTGGTGTTTCTTTCCGAACCTAGTATAATTTCGGCAGCTTTCTGAGCTGGGTCTTTCAGACAAAGCGTCGGTGTTTCCAGGTGAGGATCCCTTCTGAGGATGGATAGTCATGTCATCAGATGCTGAAAGCAGTTTGTTGTTTTTGAAGTCTAAGGAAAAATTGCATTTCCTTAAAAAGTCCAATCCGAGTATGCATGGATCTGTAATATCCGCCTCATATGCCGTTTGATGGCATTCAAGTTAATTCAAAACAGCTAAAGAAAGCTAATCTGCGAATTCGCTACAATCAACAAGAGCAGTTTTCTAAACAAACTCCTAAAACAACAACAAGCTAACTAAAAGAGGTTTTCCACCTTTTTATAAGATTTTTAAATCGCGCGCGAGAATTTTCTGGAATTTTCTCGAAATAAAAAAAGAGCTTTCCTTTAATATTCATCACGCGCTGCACTGCGCGGGAAATAAAACCATTTAATTTACAATTCAACTAACATAAGCTGTTTAAATACAAAATCCGTAACAATATATTAGTCATTGATATTTATGTCATAGTCTGATAATATTAATTAAAGTCAAGACCTTTTTCGAGGTTAAAGAAATTTTCATTTTTAAGCGGAATTTTTTTATTTAGATAAGATGGGATTTAAAAAAAAAAATCAAACAAAAAATGAGTTAGCACTATTAAATGAGAAATGATTATAATAATTTTATAGGGTTTTATTTAAATTATAAATATTAGTCCGAAGGGGCTTTGTCCCTGAAGGACTATTGTTTTCGTTTTCCGATTTTGCGTTGGTTCACTATAAATGTCCGTTTCACTCAAACTGTTGCCACCAAATGTTAGAGTCCTGCATTATATTTGAAGAAATTTAATAATGAAAAATCTGCATCAATGTATGTATATTTCTTGCATTATGATAAAACAAAGGTACAGAACAGCCATCGAATTTTGAATGACGTAATCTGATTCGAATTTGAATGAAGTCGAATTTGATCTGAAGTCGAAATCGAATTTGAATGACGTAATCAGTTTGAATGACTGAGAATATGGGCACGTGTTAGCTCAAACTTGAAATTTGGAATTTGTTTTATTTTCGATTTCATATTTTGTAAATCTTTAACGAATTTTTGATTAAGAAAATCAAGGATTTCAAAGCGAGCCATGCCAACATTGTACAGAAAAAACATTTTTATCTCCAGCGCGTGAGACTGCGTATTGGAAATTCTAAAGGGGGATATGCTCAATTTAAAACTATTTTGTGATATTGCTCTTAAACTGAATTTTATGGTTTAAGTGCGAGAACGTGATATTTAATACTCGTAAATAAAGGTAAAAGACAAAATGGTAAAAAAAAAAAAACGCCCCATTTATTATTATTTTTGTTATTATTATTTATTTAAATTATTATTACAGTATGTTCAAGATTAACACGCGCAAGGTTTTTTGATAATTTTAATCGGAAAAATCGCCAGGCTTACGCAAAACAAAGGAATACAGTTCAGTTAAAACGCAAGTAGGTCGGTATAAATTATTTAGTTTTGAAGCTACGTATCCCCAGAAAATATAACGTTATATGATGCTACTGTACCCTCTCAAATAATAAATCATGAACGGGTTTTTTTTTTAGTCCAAAGGGATTTGAATCCCGAAGGACTATTAGTTTCGTTTTGGCATTTTGCGTCGGACTCATAAATGTCGGTTCACTTTCCAAACTGTTGCCACAAAATGTTACAGTCCTGCATTATATTTGAAGAAATTAAATAATGAAAAATCTGCATAAATGTATGTATATTTCTCGTATGTGATATAAAACAACGGTACATAGAGTCATCGAATTTTGAATAACGTAATCCTCCAACGAATATGAGCATGTGGAAGACCCAAATTTGAAATTTGAAATTTGTTTTATGATCGATTTCCTATTTTTAAAACTTTGACGAATTTTTGATTAACAAACTCAAGGATTTCAAAGCGAGCAATGGCAACGTTGTGCAGAAAAAACATTTTTATCTCCAGCGCGTGAGTCTCTGTATCGGAAATTCTAAAGATATGCTCGTTTTAAAACTATTTTGCGATATTGCTGTTGCACTGGATCTTATGGTTTAAGTGCGAGGAACATGATATTTAATAAAGAAAGGTAACACACAAAATGTTAAAAAAACGCCCCTTTGGACGTAATTTAAAATCTGAAACATTTCAGATTTTTTTTTTTTTTTTAGCAGGTAAATTATTTGCCTTTGTTGGATTACAGGTAGATTTTAAGGATTACAGGTAGATTTACAGGTAGATCTGTCTACGTTAAACAAACGATTTCGGCGAAAAAATTCGATTTTTTTTAATTGCCCAATTTTAAAGGTCAGTTTTGTAGGATTCCGAAAATGGTTCATTTTTACGTTTGTGATAATTAGAAGAGAAGGTATAGCCAATTAACTGCACTGGAAGTGAAAGCAGAAAGACCGGAAGTGCCATTTAAAAGGCTCAAATTAAAGGTAAACAATGTTGTTATCCATGTTTTTTTTTACCTGTTTGTGTGTAAATTGTGCTAAAACATTTCATTTTAATTCTGGGTACTTTTTTTGTTTCTGGTCAATAATTATATTTGCCTTAATTGTTTGAATTGGGACTGGCAACTATTGCAGTTTTTATTAACTGGGTCTGGCAACATTGCGATTAGGTATAAAGACTATGTTGCTTGGGTGCATATAATAGCAGTTTTAATTTTTAATTCATGGTATCTTGGATTACTTCCTGTGTTTGAACATTGAGACATATCAATTGAACAAGAAATGATTAAAAATTACTTTGGAATTGAAAAACGAAAGAATAAAGAACTCGAAACGTCGTTCGCCTCTCATTTCGAAAATAGCCAGGAAAAAATTAAAATCAAATAGGAAATCAAAATTACTTAAGTATAAAGATATGGAGTTGTGATGTACAAATGTGGAGAATTTTAAGTGTGTAAATACAACAGAACAGTTTTTTTTTTGTTTGTTTGTTTTTGTTTTTTTGTTAATGTGAAATCTTTAAATGCGTTTTCGGCCCACCAGCGGCCGAGCGGTAAAGTCGCTGAACACTGGTAGTTCGGTCCGAGGTTCGAATCCCGCGAACGGGCTGGCTGCATGGGTGTTTTCGTGGTTTTCCCCATGTGTAACATGTATACGAGCCAGTTTCCCTTAGAAAGTTCTCCACGAAAGGCATCCCTTCTCTTAGGCTAGATAGCCCTAGTGTGCTTTGCCATAATTAAATATACATACATATACGTTAAATGCGTTTTCTGGAAAACTAATTTTTCTAGTGTTTTTACATACAAGAAATGTAATTACTCAAAATATTCTAAAGGTATCTCTATTAATTTCACTAAAGTGTTTTCTATATTATTTACTAGGTTTTAAGCTACAATCTAAGTTATATTTATTAATTTGATTGTTTTTATAAGTATTTCTATATAAAACGATAAGAAATATTTTACAAAAAACTGTGTTTTTCATGTAATTACACATATTTTAGTAAATTTTAGAAATATCATAAACATTTTAGTTCATAACACAGATGAGTGTTGTAGTAGTATACAGTATAAATAAAATTGAAATATATGCTGTGGGAAAAAATATACGACATTTAACGCAAGTGTTAAATTCTTCTAAAAATGTGCATAAAATTGCATATATTTCAAAAATTTATGAAAATATTCCTAAAAATTTACCTATTTTCATGATTTGATATCATATTTTGACTATATAAATTTTGACTAAATAAATATATATTTCATCAGAATTCTATGTTTTAAAAAAAAAGTGCTCCGAACGTAGGTAGATACCTTAAAGGATCACTCGGAACTGTTAAATCCATATTTAGTGCAGTGATTGTTGCAGAGTGAAGCTATTGTTTAAAGAATAAAATTTTATATAACATACTTAAAATAGAAGTTTATTATTATTTTATTCCCACTGAAATGTTACTGGGCATATGTTCCTACGTACTTAGACAGAAGCTCAGATTTCTTTCCCGATAATCGTCGATCGGTATTGTATTTCTTTGTTTCATAAATAAACCAGTAATCCAGAAGATTTTTTATGTAAATTAAGTTTTCAGTGGGCTTGCGCGCCATATTCGCGGACTTCTTTTTTTTCTTTCTTGGCGCATAGAAAAAATCGGATGGGCGTGGTATTCGTGAACATACAACAGTATTATTGATTTAAAGTGTTATTAGACTTGAACAGAGGAAAACACGGAATAAAATATTTAAATAACATTGAAGACTATAGATTTTTAATAATACTATAAAACATGAAATACATATAATATAGCTCTTTATTTATATATACATTTTAACAGTGAAGGCTAACATTTAGATTTTACATTTTACAGGAATACTATTCTCGCTTTAAAATAAATTAATGTAATGGTTAAAAAATGGTATCTTCCGTACCACCCGTAATTATTTTTGATCCTATAATTCATTAGTTCTTTATTTTGCAAAGTTTTTATGAATTTTTCTTTAAATTCCAGTGCTTTAAAAAATTGTAAAGACCTTTACTCAACTATGTATAAAGTTTGTGAGAAAATATTTCCTTGAAATTTTTTTTTTCCCTTCCAGGTTCTGAAAAACAGGTGCGATTTGTAATGCGCATCAGTGTGTGCATGAAGATAAATGTACCAAGCAAATTCACAAACATTCAGTAAGGAGATAATAAAGAAATGTGCTGCATATCTTTTGATCTTCTGATGAATCTAATCGTTTGACCTTCTGGTCTAATCTGGTGGAATCTATATAAAAAATCGACATTTTTATAGCAAACAAAATACTTATAGAAACTGATGACATTTATGTAAATATTAGACTTTCTTTGGGATCCTAAAAGAAGGATTATAAGCCACATAAATTTCATTTTTTTCCTCTGTTGACCTGTAACACAAAAATTAAACCTTAAAGTAAGCAATTTAACTACCATTTCTCATAATAGTTTTCACATTAAATAATAAATGTCAAACGTACATGAACTTTAGTTTGTACTAGTGTATAGTTAATGAAATGATCAGACATTATATAATCTATAAATTTGCTACACAGATTTTTTTTAAGAATTTTTATATGGCAATGTAATTTTGAAAACTTTCTTGCTCACGAAGTGACTTTTTTTTAAAGAAGTAACTTTTTTTCTTTCGTAATTAATTTCTCGAGTCTCAAGAGTTATATACAAATTTTACTACTTTTAAACAGTAACTATTTACAGAGACTAAGTTTAGAACTATTAACTGAAAAATGCAATGAAATTTCCTTAAAATTGTAGCTCCGTACTAGACTTTCAGGAGCTTCTGCTCTAATACTCAACAGCAAAGGAGATACTCTGAATCCCTGAATGTTGGCCATTTATTTTCCATGCCAGGAATAATACCTTCAACATTTAACAAGTCTAAATCGAAACAAAGTTTAATAAAGCACAATTTATGGTACAGAAATGAAAATATAATTTACACACACACACTCAAAATAGTTTTAAGGCTAACATTTAGATTACTTGCTTCTCAAAAATTTTATAAGGTATTTCTACCGCCTTCTTAGCGTGGCTTCGTGGCGTATTGGTCTGCTGGGGGCGTATTCCAAAGGTCCGTTGTTCAATTCCCGGCGAAGGCATGGCTCATTTTTCAACTCTCCTATTTTCAAAAATACCTAATGCCTCTACAGTGGCGCCCGAATTAAAAGGGTGGTGGATGATTATTCTCCACACCCAGGATTTGGCAATTGGGTCCCCTAAAGCTCCAGTCGCCCTTTAGAAGGGGGAGTATATAAAGTATTTCTCCCGCCTTCTTAGCGTGGCTTCGTGGTGTATTGGTCTGCACGCTAGGCGTGTATTCCAAAGGTCCGTGTTTCGATTCCCGGCGAAGGTGTTGCACATTTTTCAAATCTCTCTTGCTTCCAAAAAAACTAATGTCTCTACAACTTACAAATTCAAATTTGGAAGTCATTAAAAACCATTTACTGGATTCCATAAGCAACTGGACGTTAATTCATTAATCCTTTGGATGTAAAGTAAAACGTAGTAATTCTATGCTTTATTTTCGTGAGTTTCAAAAATATAAACAGTTGCAGTACCTTAAGCGACATTAGATGCAACTTGAAATATGCACATGATAATAGAAGTCGATCCGCTGCCGTTATAGTAAGTGTCATTATGTAAATTAACCATATTCATTAAAATGATAGCTACCAAGAAAGTATTGGCTACTTAGTTAAAAATTTGGGTTAGATAATCAGAAGCACAGCATGATGATTCTCCGAAAACGGCGATAAGTTTATGTTTCAGGGGTTTACCTTAATTTTCTAAGTTAGTTAGCAGTATAGTTATTTTAATTTTAGAACACGCCTTTCATTTACTTTCTCGTTTTCCACTTACGTTTCCCTGCCAGAATGAGTTTTCAGGATTACATTTTCCGTAAATGAGGTAGAAACCAGTATTTAAGCTGAAGTCTGGGTCGCTTCATTAGAAGAGCGTAGAAGAGTTAAGACAGCCTGTTCTGCCTTCTGGCCACGTTGTTGCTAATAGTCCAATCATACTACTATTCGGCCGTATTTTTACGTGTCTTCTAGTATCCGCCGGTGATCTTAAATAAAGACCAAGTCTGTTAGTTAATTCTGTGCAGCTTTTGCTTGTTTTATTTTAATTAGATTAGTTCTTTTTTTTTTTTTTTTTTTTTTTTTTTTTTATATTGTGTTAAAGCCCAAGTGGAGGCTTATTGAATGCTCGAGTGGGGTTAATCTGTTCAATAATTTTGAGTTGGAATAAAGAGTAAGTTTAACCCTTCTTCGTACTTCTTACTGGTTAGAACTCTGTGATAAGTGGCTGCATAGTCAGTGGCGTAGCTAGGGTGGGGCAAGGAGGGACAGCTGTCCCCGGGCGCAGCATCCAGGGGGCGCCAAATAGATGTTATGAAACTTTAGAATGAAATGTTTTACATTCTTGGTACACAGGGGCGCAAAATCTCAGTTGTCCCCGGGCGCTGAAAATCCTAGCTACGCTTCTGTGCATAGTTCTTCATTATTCTATCCCTCAAGGACTTCCAATTTAGCTAGGATATTACAATGTTACAAAAGTATCCAGACGTCGCAATTAATGTCCACATTCCCAAAAATTGATGAAATTTATTCTATGCAATAATTTTTAGTTTTCCTTTCTTTTCCCTCCTGATTTGTTTCCTGCCAGAATGTAAATTTGTATGACGTAGGTAGGCTACGATCTAAACGTGTTTCAGAAGCAGTATTTAAGCTGCGTTTCAGGAGTTCGTGAGTAGTAGTAGCGGACTTAGTTCCGAGTTTATGATGCGTGTTTAAAATTAGCTCTCTTAGTCGGTGTTTTACGTTAGCCAGAAGTGGTGGTTAATTGTGAGCACCAAATGCGGGCATCTGTTTTAATTTAGTTTAAATAAAAATGTTAATTAAAACCTTCCTCTGCAGTATTTATTCTCAAAAGACATAGCGAGTACTCGCTACCTCGTCTTCTATCTAGAGTCTACAGTGTATGCTACCAAAGAGAACCCACAGACTCTATAAAATTTTAACCAATACTACATGGTTGCTGACTTACTTTTTTTTAGTACATAGACAAGCTATCTCCAATAGACGTCTGAGTGCTTTCTTCCTTCTCGTTTGTGAAACTGAAGAGATCACATCTTCGTACTTCATGTATTCTGGGTTAAATGATGTAATTATTTCATCCACTAAAAAGAAAACTATTATTTTCAGCTTACATTTCAAAACAAATTAACAGTAAATAAATTAGTAAGCACGTAATATAAAGAGCATGACAGCGTGATATACCTTTCACATCCCCATTCATATTAAATCTATACTTTTTTAATAAAAAAAAACTGTAAAGCGATGGTTGCACTATAACGAATTAGTATAAATTATTTTGAAAGCTTCTTATTCCTTCACATATACAGACCGTTTACGATAACTTCGAAATATCATATGTATTAACATTTTTATATCCAACCACGTAAAGTAACATTACATCTTGCATAACTTCCTATAAAATATAAAATTTCAACTATCAATGCCAGATTTTCTTTACAAAAACCGTGATTTTTTAATTTCTATTACATAGTTTATTTCTAGTTTGAAATCAGCATGCTTCATTTTTTTAAACATTTTTTAATCAAATAATGTAAAGAATTTAGATTACTTTAACTTCAGTTAATTAGCAAATATAAGTTTCGGATTACATTTCATTCATTTATAGAGTAAAAAGAAAAAGAAACTCAAAGATTTGTAAAGTTAAATATTTTTCATAAACGCGAGCAAATAATTTTATTTTGCCTCAATATACCACGAGTTGAATCTGTAAGAAGTTTACTCGTGTCTTGGAGCTGTTTGCTCTTCGATGATCAAATCTGAAGCAAAATGCTAAGTACAGAATTGTGAAAATTATTATGGATTTCTGAAAAACCTGTTGCTAAAGTACATATTGCTACAATTAAGAATGAATTAGCATGCATTAGCTACACTTTATGATGTTTCCAAACAAAAGATTATTAATGAAGAATATCTTAAACAATATAAAACATTTCAGTATTTAGTAAAAATCCTTGTGTTTTTAATAATATCTGTATAGCATTTCTTCTATAAAGACTTTTCACTTTTGCTGTAGATCTTTATCAGGATTATTTCTAGCCAAGCTAGTGCTTGAAACCTTTCAGAAATAAAATAATTTTTCAGGATTCTGGAGCCAGGGGCATTGTCTTATTGAAAAATTACACTTGCTTGAGAAAATGATACATTACGCTGCGGAAAGAAATGTTTTCCCCAGAACTACTTATATTTTTGTGAATGTATTCTCCCTTTAATTATTAAGTGTCCAGTCTGACATATGGAGCGGTCATCTTGAATTATAACCGTGGCACACTGCAACTTCATTTTGGGTGCTGTAAATCCGTTAGTCAGTGGCAGAATCAACTTGAGCATTATCAGTGCCTATATTATTTGAGACGTTATCTTGGCAACTGTGCAATCGAAGCGAAAGTTGATTCTTCACAAGCAGTGGTAAGTAGAGGGCGCTTGCCAATTTGCAAGTCTAGCCTCTATCATTTAGTATCTTCTGACTCCTTAGCCGGACGGTGTCTATCTGCTCGTTAGAATCGGCATTTCTAGTGGATGTCTTTATTGATTTTGAAAGCTTTGAAACTTTTCGCTTTCACTTCCTTTCTGGGTTTTATTTGCTGAGATTCTAGCTTCTCTAACAAAATGCGTGATTTCTGGTTCTGGGGCTATTTCTAGCGCACTGAACTTATTTGAAGATTCAATAACCTTTTGGATAACCGTGCTCCTGAAGCATTTCTCAGCATTGCTGTATCGGATTATCAGCCATATTCTCCTTTGACACTGGGCTTTTCTTCAGCAGGCAAGTACGTGAAGGCTGAAGCCAGTTCACTAGTTCCCCAGCTCAAACCCGACGAAACCTCAACTTGATAATCCCAAAATATATAAGCTCTATTAAGAAATATTTTCAAGCAGCCTAGCAGTCCAGTCAGTGCTAAGCGCAGACCTTCATACCATTGCGAGTGATTTCTTTAAATTTTTGCTAAACTAAAATACTTTTAACTTTCAAAACACTTTTAACATAACTCATGCATATAAAAATCAAAGTTCATTCACATGCTACAATTCAAAAGATTACTTAGTTTAAACTTTACATCATATGTACCGTAGCTGCTCATGTTTGCTTTGCAAACGCGCCAGCAATCTTTTTGGACTAAAGTAACACAATAGTGTTTAACATACAAAATAAAATCCTTAAAAATAGATGCACGCATTAAACCAAAAAGCTTCTTTGCTGAATGAAATTAAGATATCCTTGCTTAAGATAAAAAAACTCAATATATACTAGCAACTTTTGAATCAAAACATCAAATAAACTGAGTACTTAAAGAAATAAAGTAAATTTTCACTTATCTTTTCCTTTTGTGGAAATCTCCCATTCGTCTTTGAGGGAAACCCGGCCAGATGGGAAGCGTGTTGGCCTAGTGATTTCGGCTCCTCCTGTGCGACTAATGGCTTTCCTAGTGGCCGCTACCGTTTCGTGCACGATCTTTTATCCGTATGGATTTTCCCTAGCCTTGCAGAAATTCAGCTGCAGCGGGCAGTTTCGTTGCTATGTTTTTTTCCCAGTATATGATCTGCCGTCGATGATTCCCTCTCGTTCGTCTTCTTGAATTTCGACCGTTGAACTGATTCCTCTTCTGGTAGCCTCTTGAAGCGCAGATTTTGGATTGGCTGGCTCGTCATTTTCCTGTTGCTACCAGATTTTTGCTAGCCTTCTGTAAAAGTCGTTAATTCGGACACCCATATTCCGGAATGATCTATAATCCGGACCTCAAAGCTACAAACTTTCTGCGCAAGCAGAAGTTAGTTTCTGCATCTAGCAGAGTTAAACAATAACTCAATTTTAAAGTGGAGGTTTCCAGGACCTCTGGAGAGAAACAAATCTACTAACATATTTTCTTGAATTGAAATTTTTTGTCAAAGCGTACCGATCAAAGCCTCGCCCTGTGCAGTGTTACAAGTACTAGCGCTAGGGATATTCACAAAAAATGTACTATTAAGGGTCATTCAGACTAGGGTTTATTCCAGCTAATGGAGACAAGCGACTTGGGCGACCGATCTCAAAAACCAGTTTTCCCCAATAGCGCAGCGAGTTGAAAAATCCGAATGTTGCACTTATATAGCGGAGCTAGTCGACACATGGAACTGACTCCGTTAGCTCAGATAAACCTCAGTCTGAATGGCCCTTAACAGACGCCCAACATGAGAATGTAATCTTAAAAAATCAGAAGTGATAAGAAAATGTGTCCTTTGTGGTTCTGATACTATTTCGGCATAAAATAATTCCAGACTTTTCAAGGATCCATGTTTTCATGGTATAAAAGATACATTTGTGATTTTATGTGCGCCATTTTTTCACATTATTATTAGTCATAGATTATGGCTTAAAGAATGCAGAGAAATAACATATTTTATTTAGACTGGATGCTGAATTATTTTTTAAAGGTGAACAAAAGAATACATAAAATTTTCCATTTAGTTTAAATTTTATTTACATGGCACAGTAAATAAAAGGAAATCATTATAAATATATTAATTTAAATAATATTTTTATTCCTTTTCTTCTGTATCTTCGTAAGCGGTATTACCCGAGCCAGCAGCTTGGTCCGTAGTTTTCTTCCTACGCACAGAAAAGGGAATGATTAAATTCACTGTCTGAAAGATTCTCAATGCAATAAATTAGTATAATATTTTCCAATAACCTATATATATTCACGGCGAAAATTATATTACCTCACTGAGTCCGAATCTAAGCGTCTAATATCTCCTGATGCTACATATATGTCAATAAGTAGAAATTAGAAAAATTCCAAATTCGAAGAAATAGCTTTTCTTGAAGCTGTAATTTTGAAGAATTTAGGCATCTTTCCCATATGCAGTGGTCACGCAATAAGTAGTCTACGTCGGTGTATTAAATTCTTCTTATTTAAAAAACTATCCGGAAATCTTTTGTTGAGTTTTTCTCTTCATGACACCAGTTGTTATGTTATTTTCTTCCTTCACGTTCGTACGGGGTTTGTAGATTTGGAGTGAATAACGACGACACTTGATGAAGTATCGAATCACACTTTATTTCGCCAATATTAATCAGGACAGCTCCAAAACACTTTTACAGTCGTCGAATATCTACTACAAACACTCTGGAACAATCAGCTTCACAGCCTTCACACTGTTCAGGCATAAATAACGGTGGAGACAGCTTCCTGCAAAGCACCCAGACCTGCTTTCCGGTCAGCTCCCGACTCTCTTGGAAACCCCACGTACTCTCGAGACTCTCCACGCTACAACTCGCTATACGCTCGACGACACACGAGTACAGCTCTCGACTCTTCGGTTCATTCATTCCCGGAACTCAACACGACTCTCTCGACGATTGCAACTAACTCGCGATGCACTAAAAGACTCTTTGACGACTCGACGACCCATTAGGCACTCGCTGCCCGGCTGTCAACTCGATCGACTCCGCAACGCAACTGACTCGCTAGACGAGACACACTCTCGATGACTACTCTCTCGCATCTATGCTAGGCACACACACTCTAACTCGAAAATCTCCGCGGACCAGAGGGGTTTATATAGCTTTGGCTGGTGTTCGAGAACATCTGGGATAAACCGGTAAGAATTCGTTTCAGAAGGTTCTCCCTTCGTCCACGGTATATCGCCAATTTTGTCACCAAATGTCGCGAAAGGGCGATTTCTCGCCAAATATGGAAACCCTGCCTTTCCTTGCCATGTTATGGCACTCTAAAACTGCTTTGCGGGGAAGCTATCTCACCGCGCCTAATTTGTAACACTTGTTATGATAAAAGTTTTAATACAGGCCATCACAAATCCATCATTTGTACTAATTAATAATTCGGAATTTTTAGTGGTCGCTTCGGAATTTACATTGTGGTCGCTGCTTTTTGGTTAATTTTCTAATGCCATATAAACATTAACTTGTTTTTATTTGAGATTTAAGAATAAAATAACGCAAACAAGACTACAGAAAATTCTCCAGAATGAAGTTAATAATACTGAAAAATACACTATCGATGCACTTTTTGATTTTATATGTAGTAGTTAATATGGAATCCTTAAATTATATATATCTATATATAGATTATATATAAATGGAACAAAATAATAGGAAGAAATATTGTAGAGAGCTCGCTAAATGTTCCAGGAGCTATGGGGACAAAATATAGAACAAGGTAAAATATTTAAAAAAATATCTTTAATATACAGTGTTCATTACTATACGTACATTTACGTAACATCAATATAAATGATTAGTTAGGTTTGTATTATATATAATTATTTTATAATTTGTATTAAATTCAATATTGTATACCTGAAGTTTAATTTTTCTTGTTTTCTTGGGTTACGACTTTAAGTGAGAAAGAATTG